ATTCAAGATATGTATAAGCAAACTGCCGCATAGACCCACCATTTCAAAGCTTGCACCTTTAACTGCTCCGGCGGCCATGGCACAGCTCTTCTTTGCAACTCCTCGTGTGAACTCTCTTCATTTCCTTCCTTCCTCTTCCAAATCTCTACCCCTCCTTTTCTCCGTTAAACCCTCTCATTTTTCCTCCTCGTCCCCCAACCTCTATCACCTCGTTTCCTTCCGCTTCTCTCCCCAGGCTCCACGCTTCTCCTCCTCCTCTTTCGATCAAATCAAACCTCATCTCCAATCCGAATGGGAGCCCATTCTCAAGGGATGGATCTGCAGCGCCGTCTCCGTTTGCTGCCTCTCCGTCGCCGTTCCCAAGGCTGGGAAAATACCCTCGATCTTGACGGAGGTCGGTTCCGACCGGATGGTCTCCGATGGGATCGCCTTGGCTACTCTAGCCCTAGCTCGATCAGCCGCGACTTACCTTCAGCATGCTTTCCTATGGGAGGCGGCCTTGGGAGCTGCGTTTAGGATTAGGACATACGTTTTTAGCAGGGTCATTGAGAGAGACATGGGCTTCTTCGAAGGAAACGCGGGATTGGAGGCCGGCGATCTTGCTCACAGGCTCACTTCTGAAGCATCGGATGTCGCCGATATGTTGTACTCTGTCTTGAATGTAAGCGGCACTCTGCGATCTCTTTATTGATGTTTATAATTGATCTATGTTCTTTGCTGGATCATTTGTTATAGAATCGAATTTCTTTTGTGAGTTTGATCTTCGATAATACATAATGATTTGATCTTTGTTTGAATGAAAAATTAGACTGTGGTGCCGAATGTCCTGCAGTTTTTGGTGATGGCTGCTCAGATGGTGGTCCTGAGTCCACCTCTTGCCGTAGTTTCAGCCATGGTAGGTTTTATATCAGAAGTTCCTGCATTTTTTTTTTTTTTTTGATAATTAGGCTCTTACGGACTGATTTTAGTATTATTGCACATTAATTCTATGACTGAAGGGAGTTCCAATCTTGTTACTTCTCATTGGCTACCTTGGTGAAAGGCTTCAGGGCATATCGAGAAAGGCACAGATAACTTCTGCTAAGCTTTCTTCCTACCTTAATGAGGTTTATTTTAAGTTTAGTTTTTCATTATTTGAAGATTTCTTTTCTTCCGTGCTATGTTTTTTGTTGTTTGTTGATTCATCGGTTGAATCACTAATGAGCCGGTATTTAGTTTAACAATCCAGGTAATTCCATTGATGCTCGTTGTGAGGGCCAACAATGGAGAGCTGAAGGAGAACCTGCATTTCTATAGGCTTGCCCATGATGATCTGATAGCTCGTATTGGAAAGAAGAAGATGAAGGCATTTATACCTCAGATTGTGCAGATCCTGTGTATAGGAGGTTTGATAGTTCTTCATGCTATTTCGATGATTGCTTCAAAGGGTTCAATGGATGGATCAAGACTTCTTTCATTTACAATGTCACTAGCGCTTCTGATCGATCCTATCCAGGTAGCGATAACGGTTATAACTTTTCCTCGCACTTACAAACAAGCAAAATCTTTGAAATTTGTACATTCAATTATGCATTTTTTTCAAGCAGCCATATCATAATTCTGATTTTTATGTTTGAATCTACTATATTTCTATATTTTTGTGAAGTAAAGAAATTTTTGAGGTATTTTTTTCTTTGTTCAATAAATATTCTGCTGATTTAAGGAACTTGAAGTTAAACTATAGACTGTTAATTTTTAATACATGATTTTACCAACGGAATGTGCTGCAAGTTCATTTTTTGCATGATAAAACAGAAATGGAACCTTAGCAAAAGTATGTTCACCCCTTATTCTTTATTATTTTGATGGAAAAAATATGACGTGTTGAGGATTGCACGTCCGGACAACGGTCCAAATGCAGCCAAGCCGCTATACATCGCACAACGACACATCCAGACATGCGGTCACCGCATGTAATATTTTCTCCTGTGATAGACATCATATTGTTGATGATAAAGATCATAATATTCATGACAAATTAAAGTTCATATACAGTAATAGACATAAATAAGCTTTTTT